TGGTCGATTGAAACCGAAACCGCATTGAATCATCAATGCGTCTCTGTGTGTCTCTTTTTTTTTTTTTTTGGTTGACTGAAACCAAAACCGCATTGAATCATCAATGCATCTTTTTTTTTTGTCGAAACAGCCTTGCTTCATGGCTGTTCGGCAAGCACACAGCCGAACGACTGTATCCTCAATCGAGATGCAACGACAAAGAAATCGATTTAGAAAAAAAAACGGTAATCCTAATAACCCAACATGATATAAGGCTCTGATACCACTTGTAAGAATAAATAAAGGGGAGCAAACAATCCTAAACTTGCAGAATCATACCAATACCATTCATGTAGGAAGAACAAGAAGCCATGTTGCACCCCAAAGAATATCATGCTGCAGTTATCAAGGAGGTTTAAACGTACATACCTGTATCCATCGTAGTAATGGAAACCCTTGCGGAATGAGTGATGATTCAATGATTGGTCGACTGGTGTGGTTTCCTCAGTTAAATCTTCCTTATTCTTTAGGTTTTCTCAGCTCTTTGACTCTAATGGGGTAGAGCAAGAGGGCGGCTAGATGATTTAACATATTGGGAACCATAACCTAGGAGCCTTTATATTTTGACCTAATAGGATCCCATTAAGCCTATATGGGCCAAAATGTGGTATCCACTCATTAAGCCTCATACCCTTTTGTTGAAGTCTACGGGCTTTGCCTAAATGAATCACTTGATTTAGCCCACTTACAAGATAGCCCATCAAGCAATTGTTTCACTGAATATGTAAGCCCACTTAACAGAGATTAAAACCTAACACAACATCCCTTGAAGAAGAATACAAGTTACAGAGATATTTAACTTCTATTATTTGGATTGCCTTTCTTAGGTAACAACCTTTCGAGTGAGGAGTGAAGTTCTAATCGCAGGAATGTTTCTCACTGTCTCCTCATTCTATCGTTTTTTTCTTCGTTTTTTCGAAAAAGATCAACTCATATAAAATTTCTACCTTTGTTGTTAATTATTTATAATGCTTTTGATTGATACTACATATATGCTGGAAACAAGAATTGCAAATGGAAAAACATTATGTTTTGGATATCCAATTTCATTAGCAATCTCATTATGCTTATGTTATTCAACTTGTTTGCATTGTACTTACCATATTTAAGCCGCACATTGTTTAGGGGGATTCTCAAATTGTTATTTGATTGGATGAGTAGGAAGCTAGGAAGGCCTTGGAGGCCCAGTTATCAGATTAGGCATAGTATCTATTTGTAAGATTGAACCCCCTATTTAAATGGGTTTCAAGATCTGCCAAGTTGATGGCTGACAGCCTTGCTTTGGGTGGGTGGTGACTGATAAAGAATTGTATTTGGGTTCTACATGATTGTCTGTTTATATCTTTTGTATGGGTCTTTTTTTTAATGGTAAATTAACTAAGAAGTTAATTTGGCATGAGTAGAATAATTGAAATACTGGGGAGCTTGTGATAAACCAACATTGTTTGTGTTTTTTTTATGTTTTTTTAGTTGCATTTTGGATTTGTCATCAAATATGATTTCTCAACGATTAACTTATATTTCCTAGGCTTTGTTGCATTTATATTACATATCAAATTAGGTAAGGTGATATAAAACAAATGACGTATGCCTTCATTTATCTAGTGTATTTGAAAGCTTCCAGTTGGATGACTGTTTTCTGCTTTTCCTGTTTTTTCCTTTGTTTGGTGTTTTCTGTCTTACATCCCACAATTTTCTCATTCTTGACAGAGTAAAAGAGCATCTGTATGCTGGAGTTTCTACCAGAAGAGAACATCAAGAAGTGTCTTCTCTAGCAGAATTGGAATAGGAAATTGTTATCCAGGGAAATCTCTGGGAGCTATCAAATTGCTTTATGTGGATACCATCAATCCACAATGCCGGGGTTACCTTTGGTGGCTAGTGAAACTACGTATGCTCTATATTTGAACCTATCTTGTTGTTTTRTGTCATTCTATCAATAATTAAATAACAATATATTTAGTATAGAAATAAGAAGGAATCATGGATAATACACGGTAATAGCAGTAAAAAGTCTGCTATGGTATGAACACTACATGAAAACATCCAATCAACCCTAGCTTTGCAAAATTATTTGCTTAATTGTTAGGCTTCCTGGAGAGCAGAAAGAAATAATATGTTCATTGACTCATTGACTCATTGCTGGTACATCAATGCCTCTGTATTGAAATCTKGTACATCAATGGGAATTGAGAAAACAAGGAAAGCTTCTCCTAATACTCAAAGGAACTGGGGGACTTCTGACAACCTTAGCTTTTGGGGATTGGGAAGATAATAAATCCATAAAGGAATGCTAGACTATCTAATAATAGTCTTGTCACAATTCATGGATGTCAATAAATTTCTTGTTTTCTATTATATGTATTTATTGGTAATTATAAAAAATATATGTATTTTTTGGTCACTTAAATTTGATATTTTGATTTATATTTTGCTTTTGTATAGGATAAAAGGAAAATTCTATAAATTTATGAAACAGTTGTAAGGCCAGTTAATTGTATGTTGCAAAGTGTTGGGCAATTAAGAAACAACATGCTCAAAAAATGAGTTTGGCGGCAATGTATGTAGAGATAGGGACAGTGAGGGTTAATTTTGTAAATTTACTTCGTGCTGTACATATTTCTTTATTTTCTCATTGTGTATTATACATCTTGTATACTAGGGACAGATTTATCCTTTTACTCTTCATTAATATAAATATCTTTCTCTTGGTGTGGTTGATTCACTTAGACACACCACAAATCTGTTTAGTTTCTCTATTTTGAACTGCACCAGTATCAGAGCAGGTTTAGTGTGGGAATTAGTTTGGTGAATGGTGAACCACGGAAGACTAAAAATCGAGTTACTGTTCCCGCGAGGTCTGTGGTTACTATTCAAGTTCGATCCTTTTGCCTTTGATTTCAGACTCTTTTTTCTGGTGTTAGGGTCTTAGGGATTGTTTTGGTCCCTCTTTTTATCTGTTTACACTGGTTCTATTTGGCACCTTGTTCTATTTCAATCAGAACAAGGAAACCTGTTTTTTTCTGGACCTGGACGCCATTCGGATTAGTAAATCTCAGATTTCTCCTCAGTGAGTGATCTGTTTGGGCCAAGAATTTAGATCTTGTGTCGCCCTAGGCTTTTCTTTCAGCATCTAAATTTTGGTGAAGACCCGATCTTTATTTCTAGGGTTTTGATCCCTTCTCTGGTATGATACATTTTGATCCCTTCTCCCCCTGATGCATATTACATGCTTCTCTTTGCAACTAATAGATTCTAGTAGTGTTTTTTTAGCTTGAGAATAAGTGGCAGTTAACCTGTCCAAAATATCCTTGGCTGTTGATAATCATTGGTCCATGGCAATCACTGGCCATAACCATGATATATGTAAAATTAACTTCAGTGTTATTTAAAATATCATTCCACAATCCTCGTTTTTTAAATATTATAAGAGTGGCCAATCCTACTAGAACTAAGAAAAATGGAAAATTACAAAATGTTTTCTATTTGTTTTAGGGAAATTAACTTTCTTGCAAAAAGTTGTAACTTTAGTTTTGGCTGGGTAAAAAGAACAGCAAATGGGTTGGTAGATGTACTAAGAAAACAGGGAGCTGACAGATCCACGTTATTTTGGGCAATGTTGTAATCTGTGATAGTAAAAGAAGGGGGGATGGCAAAGGTGGGCAAGCTGCTTTTCTGTTGAGTTTTTGGGCTACTGCGTAACCAAAACTCTGTTATCTTTCTCAAACATTAATTAATGAACTCATTTTGCTGATAAAAAAAGAAGTTTTCTATTTGCATCACCCTTTTCCTCTACAAGTGGTGTTGTCATATTTTGAAATCTTGCAAGTAGGCAGCCTTCGGTTGGGTTGTTAAAAATCACACCATCATCATCATCCATGCGTTATCCCAACTATATGGGGTCAGCTACATGAATCTTGTTTTGCCAATCCATTCTATTTAATGCCATATACATTGTTAAATTATTGGTGCTGTTGATGGTCTTCTATGCACATAACCAAACCATCTTATTCTACTTTCTCTCATTTTATCACCTATTGGAGCCACTTCTAGCCTAGGTTCTTACGAATGACTTCATACCTGATCCCATTTTTCTGTTTTTTTTTTTTTTTCCCACTCATCCATCTTAGTATTTGCATTTTTTCCACACTCATTTTTTTTAAGATATTGTTTCTTGACTGCCCAACACTCTACTCCAGACAGCATAGCCAGCCTTACCTTTTTTTTTTTTTTTTTTTTTTTTTTTAAATTTAAGTGCTATTCACCAATCACATGAGTCCAGATGCACCCTTCCATTTTGCCCATCCTACTTTAACTCTTTGGGTGACATCCTCCTCAGTCTCTCCCTTGATATGAATTATTGAACCAAGGTACATGGTCATATTGAGTTATCTCTTGGTCTCCAATCCTAAGTGTATCCTGATTTACACTCCTATTATGTCAACAATTAAATCCATGTAGAATTTGGTGTCAAGGCATACTTTAATTTATCTTCATTGTAGTTATCTGGCGTGTATATAAAGAGCCTTTATATTGTTATAAACTGCAAGGTGATGATCATTATTCAACTGTTCTAATTGAACAACAATGATGATTATTCAACTGTCTTAGTTGAGCTGGAATGTTGTTTTGCAATATACAGGTATACGGCTATTCTTTATTTTTTACCTTACTGTCATCAGTTCTTGGTGATTATCTTGTCTGTTCATTTCTTGGGGACAGTTAGTAGCTGTACTTTTGTGTATCATGGTTAATAATAAACATTTTCTGGTTATATAAGCATAGGGGCTGTTTCATAACAGCTGAAATGAATGATTTTTTTTTTGTCTTTTAGTGGCTAAGTTTTTAAGGGGGTTGTGCGCTCCTTAATGACCAAAGCTGAAGTTGGGTCAATTTCTATTTCCTTGAATATTTTATTTAAATTTATATCCACTTAAAGAGAAAGCAATAGGTCATTTAGTTAGCCAATTTAATTGTTATCAGCTGGCTCCTTATCTTGCTTACAATATGAAAATTAGTGTTTGCATTAGAAGCATTAGCATCTTATTCTTGTGTGCGGCACAGGAATCCTGGGTGCAATTGCAGCCATTCTAGGTCTTTTGATCAGATGTGCTGCCAAGATGCTTGGGCCCATTTGTCTGCAGAAGAGGCAATTACAGCTGAAGAAAGTCTGTCAGTTTATTGCAAACCTGTTGAACTCTATAATATTCTCCAGCGCCGTGCTTTACGAAATGTAAGGTTTCTTTCTTTCTTTCTTTTCTCTCTCTCTCTCTTTTTTTTTTTTTTTTTTTGATAAGCATGTATGGTTTCTTTTATGAGATCAATAAATTATGCAATTCTTCTATACCCAAAGACTAAGTCATGCTAAGGATAGAGTTCGAAGGTGGGATTTGTATTGGGGGATTACTCTTTGGGGATAGTTAGTAGTTGGTAGTCATTTGTTTTTGTTGTTTACTTCCCTCTGCTTCTCATACATCTTTGAGGTTCTTGGCCCTTTCTTTGGATTTTTGGGATTTTGATTGCACTTTTCCTCTTTGTACTCTTTTGATGAAGTCATTTTCTATTGATAAAAAAACTTGTGTCCTTGTGTGAATCTAATATGACATTTTTTCTTTTTTTATGCAGCCATCCTTTCTTCAAAGATGCTTGCACTACAGAATACAAGCAAAGCACAAAAGGAGGTATTGAGATTTCTAATCAATAAATTTTGCTTTCATAGTTGGAAGTAAATTTGTGCAATTATCAAGGTTTAAAAAGTCAATGTTGGTGGAAATATTGTGAAATATGCAATATAGAATGCTATTTCATATAATGATAAAGATGCTTGTTATACCCTTTTAAATTAAGATCTTGTTCCAAATCATCAAAATTACATGGTAGGGTGAGTTAAAGCAAAATCCAAACTCAGGAATTGTAAATGATTCTAATAGATCAGCCAAATAATTTATTATACAACAGAAACTAAGATTTAACTTCATGTTTCAAAATAATTTCAAGCTTACTCAAAGTGGTAATCATCTCCATTAAGTGGGCAACAACATTGGTATTCCACACATCTAAAATATTGTCTATGACCCTAACTCATACAGAGATACAGAGATAGGGGCCTCTTGTGGGAGGAATTAGCTGTAATTAAGGGTCTGTGGGAGGGACCTTGGTGTCTGGGGGGAGACTTCAATGTTATAAGGTTTACAAATGAAACAAATAATCCAAACCAAGCCATAACCACAAGCATGAGAATTAAAAGAACACATGTAATTGCTGAATTTTGAAATTGGTGGGCAAGTTGGTTTCGTGGCTGTCTGTGACTGCTGAACTTAGAAATGTAATGTATCAGATGTGTTATTTTCTGTTTCTTGATGGCACATGTAATTGCTGTTTTAGATCAGTCAGCCATTTCTGGGACTGATCTCAGCCTCCTGTGTGTATCTTTTTCTTAATAAATATTACTTTACCTTTTCCAAAAAAAAAAACCACAAGCATGAGAAAATTCAATACCCTAGTGAAATCCTTAGAATTAAAAGAACACCCCTATTAAATGCTTCTTTTACTTGGTCCAACTTTTGTGAAAACCAAATGTGCTCTAAGCTAGATAGATTCCTTTTCTCAGTAGACTGGGAGGAGATTTGGGTAAATTTAGTTCTGAAAGCTTTACCTAGGGTAACCTTTGATCATTTCCCTTTATGCCTTAATCAGGGGACTCTTCTTAGGGGCCCTGCACCCTTCAGATTTGAAAATATGTGGATGTAGACCCCGAAGTTCATTGAACAAATAAAAGGTTGGTGGAAGGAAAGTGGAACCGATGTGAGACATAAAGGGGTGAGATTTACAAAGAAATTGAAGAGATTGAAAGAAAGGATCAAAGAATGGAATACAAAAGAATTTGGGAGGCTAGAAGATTCAAAAGAGAGAATTGCTAAAAGAGAGGAGCTAGACCAAAAGGAGGTCAGAAGGGAGATTAGTGTGGAGGAAAGATCAGAAAGGTGGAACCTAAAATTGGAATTAGAAGGTATCTTAAGAAAGGAAGAACTCTCTTGGAGACAAAAATCAAGCTGTAAATGGCTGATTGGAAGGAGACGGTACAACAAATGGAAGAAGGAAAAATCTGATCTCTATCATTTAGGTTGATGGACGAGTGATAGATAGGGAGGAAATTATCAAGAATTTTGTGGACTATTTCAAATCAATCTTTGCCACTATAGGAAATAGACACTTTTAGTTGCAGGGTTTGGATTGGAACAGAGTACCTAAAACACAAGCAAGCTTTTTAGAAAGGAATTTCACTGTGGAAGAGGCTTGTGAGGCAGTTTTCTCAATGGAAAAATCCAAAGCTTTGGGCCTTGATGGCTTTTCGATGACTTTTTATCAGAATTGTTGGGAGATAATAAAAGATGATTTGATGGAGGTGCTTTTTGAATTTCACTAGAAATTAAGAATCTTACTAAGAGCAAATGCTACATTTCTTGCCCTAGCGCCCAAGGAGAAAGGCTAAAACTCCAAAAGACTACAGGTCTATAAGTCTCATAGGTAGCCTTTATAAGATCATTTCCCTATTCTTGTTTACCTTTGTTGCTGAAGTTCTAAGCAAACTGATATCAAGGCTGATCTAGAGAATTTTATTAGAGATTGGAGGATTGGAAGGAACGAAATTGTTGTTACCCACTTGCAATTTGCAAATGACATAATCATTTTCTGTGAGAACTGTGATGAATCTAGTGCGAGGAACTTGAAAGCTTTGGTAGATGGGTTCCAAAGGATCTCAATGTTGAAAGTAAATTGGGTTAAGAGTTGTGTGGCATGAATTAACCGGGAAGAGCAAGATGTTCAACTAGTGGCAAGAGTACAGGGTTGTGAGGTTATAAGCTGGCCTCTAAAATGTCTTGGTATGCCCTTAGGGGGTAAGCCGAGATCAGAAAGTTTTTGGAAACTGATGGTAGAAAGATTTGCAAAAATTAGCTTCGTGAAAAAGAAACTATATATCCTTGGGAGGAAGAGCGACCTTGATATTGATCAAAAAAAAAAAAAAAGAGCAACCTTGATCAAATCCACTTTAACCAACATGCCTACCTACTACCTATCCACCTTTAGAATATCAGGTAAAATAGCAAGGCAACTAGAAAAGTGTATGAGGGACATCTTGTGGGAACTAGGTGAAGGAAAAAAAGACCACTTGATCATATGGGAGCAGGTGTGCAAACCAAAAGAATTGGGAGGCCTTGGCATAGGAAATCTGATTATAAGAAATATGACCCTCCTGGCTTTGGAGATTTCCTCTAGAAGGAGATAGGTTGTGGCCATAGTTTTCAAGGCGCCAAGGTGAGGCTAGACTATAGGGGGGTGGGGCACCTTGTTGCCTAGTCTCCTAGGCAATGGATTTTTTTTTTTTTTTTAAAGTAAAAACCACATATCCTAGGGTAGTTCCATAGGTTCCATAACCATCTTTCCTTAATAACTATCCATAATTTTCTTACTTCATGTTTAAGTCTAGAAAATCAACATATTTATGAGAAGAAAAAGAAGGAAAAGAACATTAAAAAAACATAGGGGCTGAACCCCTATTTTTGTTATAGGAAAAGAAAGAAGATGTTTGTGTTGATTATACCCTAACAAATAAGAAAATAATAAAAATAAATTAGTTTATAAACACAAAAGGTGAATTTTTTTTTTTTGTTTAGTAATGTCTATTTTATAATTATAATCTCAAAAAAATAACAATATAAAAGTATTTTATAAGACAATACACAAAACTACTTGGTGATTAGGTGAGGCGAGCTTCCAAGGGCGCCTTGACAACTATGGTTGTGGCATAGGGTCATTGGAAGCATTCATGGTGTGGTGGACAATGGCTGGGACACAAAGTTGGCACTACAAACTTCATCAAAACCCCCTTGGAAAGCAATAGTGGAGGTCTTGCCAACCTTTCTCAATTTCACTCAGTTTGATGTGGGCTGTGGGAAGAGAGTCTTATTTTGGGAGGATCTTTGGATTGGGATCAACCCCTCAAATTGCAATTTCCCACACTCTACTCTTTGTCCAATTACAAGGCTGAACCTGTTTCTAAATTTGGTCTACCCTTGGCAAATGGGTTGAATCGGGATTTTGGGTTTAGAAGAGGCCTGAGGTATAGTGAGTGTGACTCCCTTATTCTCCTGCTAACAAAACCGGAAAAAGTCTTTCTTGATCAAAACATTTTAGATGGCAGAGTTTGGTTTCCCTTGCCTGATGGCCTATTCACTTGTGCTTCTTTTTTTAACCTTCTTGTCCTATCCCTCCTAATGTACAAGCTTTGTGTTGGAACATTTTTCTTGGAAAGATCAATACTTGTGACTTGCTACAAAAAAGAAGGCCAAATAAGTGCCTATCTCCTCACATGTGTTTCCTTTGCAAGGATAGTGGTGAGACTCTTCCTCATTTTTTGTATCTTGTATATGGGAATTCTTTTGCTCTCTCCTTTTGGTTGCAGATGGGTTCCCCCACAGATTGTGGTAGATTTGTTCAACTCTAGCTTCTTGAGGCAACAGAAAAAGAGAGGAAGTATTATGTGGAGGGTAGTAAGATGAACAGTGGTATGGACCTTTTGGGAAAAAATCAAAGGATCTTCAGCGAGAGGAGTAAGTCTAATTTGGAACTGATTGAAGTCATAACAGTACAACACACTGGATAAAGACTTTGGACCTTTTCCGAGAGTTCTCAACTACTGATATAATTAGGGCTTGGACTGAAATAACACAAACAAATAGACATGTAGAAAATGTATGGGTGGAATGGAGGCCCCCATCTCTTAACAAACTGAAATTGAACTTTGATGGCAGCTCGTTGGGTTATCCGGGAAGAGCAGGCATAGGGGGTGTATTCAGAAGCAACCAAGGAGAGGTAGTGGCCTTGTATTCGGGACCAATTGGCATTGGAGACTTGGTTCAGGCTGAAATATTGGCTTGGCTACATGGAATGAGAAGTGAAGTGCAGCTTGAAATTAGGAAATTGGAATTTGAAGGAGACTTATAACTAGTCATCAATTAGACCAAGAAAATCACTTCAACCCCTTCGAAATACAGACATGCCTTCAGGGAAAGCGGTACCCTAGCAAAGATGTTTAATTCTACCTTCAGCTGGAGAAGGACTGCCAATGGGATGACAAGCCTCTCTTGTTTTGGACAAAGTTATATTATGATGTAATTTGGGGTGGGAAATTCCTTTAATGATGAGTTAAACTCTGGCAGATGCTCTAGCTAAATCTGGGGTGGGGAGGGACTTTTGTATATTGATATCGAGCTTCCTCTTTAAATGGCTGGGGAGGCTTTTTTGCTTTTTGTTTCCTTTTTGAGTGGTTCTGGTGAGATGTATTTCTTATACATCCTGTATATCTTCCCTCTTTTTGTTAATGAAAGTTACCTTTTTCTCAAAAAAAAAAAAACTTTTAATGACTGTACTAAATTCATGAATTTTTAATGAAATCTTTGTACTGATAAAAACAACTTATGTTATAATAGTATCTCCTGTACACCACATAGCACCAGTGGCTTTCATTAGGGAATATGTCAATTCTGGTAATATTTCGTGTTGGTACCCATGGAATTGGAAATATCTTGTGGAAATATTAGGAAATTTATGGACCTTTTAAACTATGGCAATAGTTATGCTTGAATGTTTTTTGGCTGATACATGTTTCATATTTAATTTTTCTACATATATGTTGAGTTGTAGGAATTATAGGGATATTTGGAAATCTAGTACTTTTAAAATTATTTTTTCATGCATAATGTGCTTCACTGCCCATTTTACATTGTAAATGACAGTGAAATATGGATTTCTTGACCATTTAAGGATTGGTGCTAAGAACCATATTGTAGTTACTTTATTAGTTTTATCTTTGAATATGAAAGTCTTAACATCTGATAGGGACAAGTTAGAACAAAAACATGAGATTCAACTTTTTATCGATCAAGGATGGGTTTGCTACAGTTTAATTGGTCTGAACCCTTTTTCTCTGTTCCTTTTTGTCTTAATGGTGGAGGTAATAAGTGCCATAATTAGATTGAATGGGCAAATGGAGTTTATTAAGGGGTTTAATGCGTTTGAAGAAAGTCCATATATCAGACTATCACACATTTAAAATATATTGATGATGCTTCGGTGTTTATCAAGTCATTGGTGCAGGTGGCATTGAATCTTAGATGAATACTTAAGAAGGTTGAAGGATTATCAGGATTGAAAGTTAATATGAATAAAAGTGTTATGATAAAGGTAGGCAAAATGGGAGATTTCTTGGAATGTGCAAGGGCTTTAGGTTGTTGAGTTTGGCAATTTTCCTTTTACCAATTTGTGTCTCCTAATTGGTGTGAAGGCATTAACTACTTCTATATGGGAATCTAGTGGTGGAGAAACCAATTGACTCACCAATTGAACCAATTGACTCAACAATTGACTCACCAAAGATACTGGCGAGCTAGGGGTGAAACCAATTGACTCACCAATTGAACCTAACCATCAGCTGGGAGACAGTCAGGGGAAGTTCGTGAAAGATGTGAAGAAGTTTCAGAGACTTGTAGGGAGACTCTTGTATTTGTCTATGACTAGGCTAGATAGTGCTTATGTAGTGGGTGTCCTTAGCCAGTTCATGCACAATCCTAGGACAACTCACTTTGAAGCTGCAGAGAGGGTCCTTAGATACCTCAAGAAGTTTCCTAGAGCTGGTTTGTTGTTCCAAAAACATGGACATTTAAAGGTGGAAGTATATATTGATGCTGATTGGGCAGGGGCAGTTGATGACCGTAAGTCTACCAACGGGTATTGTGCCTTTGTAGGAGGAAATTTGGTCACATGGAGAAGTAAGAAGCAAAGTGTGGTGGCTAGATCCAGTGCTGAAGCAGAATACAGAGCCATGTCTCATGGGGTTGCCAAAATCCTGTGGATAAGAAACCTGTTAGGTGAACTGGGTTTTGCAGTTAGTAACCCTATGTCACTCTATTGTGATAATAAAGCTGCTATCAACATTGCAGCTAATCCAGTCCTCCATGATAGGACGAAACACATTGAAGTGGACAAGCATTTTATTAGAGAGAAACTTGTGAATGGAGAAGTATGCGCTCCATATGTCAGCTCAGAAGAACAACTTGCAGACATCTTCACCAAGGGTCTTCATCATGTGTGGCATAATGATTTGTGTGACAAGTTGGGCATGATTGACATCTATGCTCCAACTTGAGGGGGAGTGTTGAAATAGTTTATTTTATTTCTTGTCTTTTAGTCTTGTCTTAGTAGGGTCTGTTTGGTTGATTAATGTCTTTTTTATTTTTCTGATTATTGTACTTCACTTATAGAGGGGCACAAGGGTCTTTTCCCCTTTTATTTTAGTCGCCCTGTATATACTAATAGAATCTGGTGCCGCCAACACTGTTCCATTGCCAATCTCTTCTCTTCTCTTCCTCTTATTTCTGGCTGGCCACACTGTCAAGACTCACAAACATTTGATTGAAAGGAAAGTGAGGAACATAAAGAATAGATGATAAAGAAAGTTGAGATGTTGGGTTAACATATCCTATTCTAGATACTGGAGATTTACATCCATTAGCAAGAGTAATATATTGGTTAGTAGAAGGCAAAGGAGTTAACTGAGAAAAAAGTAGATGAAGTACCTAACATGTGATTGGTAGCTCCTGAGCCAATGATCCATGGAGATGATGGGGTAGAAAGAAGACAAGTGGAGCCAATACCTGATGTCTAGGCAAGAGTAGCAGTGGAGGAATACGAGTCTGCAACCAATCGATTGTACTCTTCCTGAGAAATAGTCATTGTCTCCCCTTCTAGCTGATTGTTTGTAGCAACCATCAATTGTTGGGATTGTGAAGTATCATCCAGATAGGTGCCCTGGTTGGCATAACTTCTTGGCTTCTTCAACAAAAGACAATATTCCACAGTATGCCCACGATGGCAATGTGAGCAAAACTGAACTCCATACAGTAGCCAATTGTATGTCTCTAACCCGCAATGAGTCCAAAATCTAACACTACCATTCTTGCCTCATCCACGGCCACCTCTACTACCGTCATCACCTCTACCAGCAAGTACCACGGCCACCATTTCCACATCCTCCTCCATAAGTACCATGAGCTTGTCCACTGCTTCCAGATACAACTAGTGCTGCTCAATTAGATGATTGGGTGGATTCAGACAGCTTGGACCTCTGAAGTCTAGAAAACACATCCTCCAAGTCAGGTAACTTTGGATTGCCCAAAATTTGAGCTCTCACTGCTCATACTCAGGTTTGATTCCTAAAAGAAACTTAGCTACATATAGTTTTTTTCTCTGCTTCTCCATAACTGTAACATCACTAGTGACAGGTTGGTAGATATTAAGTTCTTCACAAAGACTAACCATATCTAAATAATAGTCCTCAAGAGATTTATCTCCTTGCTGTAGGTTAAAAAATGATTGAAACAACTGATATATCCGAGTAATATTATTACTACCTGAATACATCCTCTTCACTTGTTCCCAAATCTGTTTTGAAGTATCAATGAAGATAAGAGTGCTGCTGATCTTGGTTTCCATGGAATTCCACAACCAAGTTTTGATTTGTTTACTTGGAATTATCAGTCCCGGGTTTCCTATCGGTAAGATATTTCAATTTCCCAACTGTCAACTGCTGTTAATGATACTTCTATGAATTTTGCCCAAACAGCATAGTTTGTACTTTGCACTTCCATTCAACTTGATAGTAGTCAACATAAAAGGCTGTGGGAACTAGAGTACTAGATTTAACCTCCATTCTATCTCACTATCTTATGAAAAGATGGAATATCCACCGACTTTTACCACCCTAATCACTCTCACAGATCACAAATCACCTATCACGTCACAATTGAACACTTCACATCATCAATCATCTTTCTAAATCATCACAGAACCATTCACCACTTCAAAACACATCACTTCATAGCATTCCCTCTTAGTTTTGATCCACTTGAGGGATACACATGTCACAGTTCACCTGTCACAGCAGTTGTGATGGTTAAAATCATCACTAGTCACCAAGAAAACCCTCTAAATCTGGTTCGATCACCAAAGGGCCTCCTAAATCTGGTTCGATCCCCTGTAACGGTGGGTAACAGCCACTCAAGAGTGACCCTAGATAGATCGGTTGTAAGAAGAAGCCCTAGCAAATTTCCTTCATGTCACCTGCTCTAATACCATGTGAAATATGGTATTATAGATGCTCTAAGCAATAGTGATTTAAAAGGCGCGCCTAGGTGCACAGGCGAAGCGCATTTTGGGGTATGTGCCTTACTCAGGTCCTAGGCGCAGGTGCGCCTGATGCGCCTTGTGCCTCAGCCCAGGCGTCTGCCTTATTAATATTTTTTTGAGTCTAATGGCTGGGCTGGGGGCTCCACCACCGGACCCCCGACCACGCCCCTCCGAGAACCCCCTATTTGCTAATGTTCTTCATTCATTCATTGCAATAAAATATCTTCTTAAAAGGCAATTAAAGTTAAAAAATCATCATCTTTCATGTGAGAAATAAGAATTTCAAACCCTAACATAGACTTGTTTGGCCTTGCCTTGAGGGGTGTGGTACAAAGGTGACTCATAGAATCAAGAATGCAATATGTTTTACATCACATTAGCTACTTGAAGCAATGCAATTAAGGAAAAAAAGAGATTGTGGGTTTTACATGCTTGAAAATGCTTTATATGTGTTTGCTTTTATTTTAAATTTTCATCACATGTTATATTTATGTATTTTAATTTTAGATAATTGGTTTTTTAAAACATTTATTTTAAAATTTTAATTTATATTTTTTATTAACATTATGTTTAATATTTTTTGAATTTTTTAATTTTTTTGGCATTTTGTTGAATTTTCTGACTTTTTTTTTTATTTTTTAGTTTTTTTTTGTAGTTTTGCGCCTTTCTTAAAAAGAGGTGCGCCTCACCTTGCGCGTTGCGCCTCAGGTGCAAATTGGCCCTTGCGCCTTTTTTGTGCCTTGCGCTTTCAAAACACTGGTAAGCAACTAGAAGGGCTGTAAAAGGAAAGGAAGAAATAGATAAGAGAAGGGAGAAGAGGTAGAGAAGAGAAAACCACCAAACTGTTCAAAGAGAGATTAGAATGTCATAATTGCCTCTTAGCAGTCGGCCTAGCTTTATATTAATCTTTAAATAGGTACAAAATTACAACTATGCCCTTAGTTATGAAAACAATGGACTAGAGTGTCCTTATTATAAGATAAAAAAAACACTTAGCTACCCTGGTATCCATATACACCCAAAGTAGTGCTCTTTCAACACCCTGGAGTCCCATCCCAACCCAATCACCCCATATTTACATGACACCACCCTCCTCCAATGAGCTTTCCTCTCAGAACCAAATCTTCATAGCCATTTCCCTAGAAGAGCTTTATTGAAGTGCTTCAATTTTCTGATTCCCATACCTGCATCTTTCTTCTCCCTGTAGACCAGTCCCATTTTACTAAGTGAAATCATAAGAACTCCCTTTGCATTTTTTCAATTGAGATTATCACAAAAGCTGGGGCTTTTAATAATGAGAGGTAATACAACAATAGATTAGACAACACACTCTTAATAAGAGTTATCCTTCAAGTGAAAGATACCTCCCCTTCCAACATGCCAATCTTTGATCAATTTTGTCAAGAACCGGTTGCCAACTTAAAGAGGCTGAAACTTTTTCCCTAACGGGGAGACCCAAGTAAATAAAAGGGAACTCCCCCACTATGAAATCCAAGGTCACTACACACTCTTCCAAAAGAGACTCAAAGATATCTCCCACCCCAATCATCACACTTTTCTTCAAGTTGATCTTTTGTCTTGCACCATTTCAAAGAACCTAGGATCACTCATAAGTTCAGCACTTGCACAGTTGAAGCATCCAGAAATACTGAAATGTCATCAACAAACTGGAGATGAGTAATGGGAATTCCATTTCTTCCTGCTTTAAATCCTTCAAACATCCCATCTTCTACTCCTTTACATAATAAACCAACTTAAAACTCCTGTCACCAAAACAAACAACAAAGGAGACAGAATCTCTTTGTTTTAGACCCCTTGAAGCTTGAAAGAAAGGTGTGGATATTCCATTAACAAGGATTGAGAAAGAAACATAGGAGATGCAACCAAACATCCAACTTCTTTACCTTTCCCCAAAACCCATTCTAGCCCAAGACTTCTTCCAAGACCCCTCTCTTCATGGTCATAAGCCTTCTAAGTGTTAAGCTTGCAGATCAAACCTTCCTGGCTGCTTTTTAATCTTGAATCAACACATTCACTTGCAACCATTACTCCATCTAGAATTTGTCTACCTTCCACAAATGCCATTTGGGTTGGGCCCGCAATTTCATACAAAACTGATTTAGTCTTCTAGACAGCACCTTAGCTGTAATTTTGTAAGGACTTGAAATCAGACTGATTGTTCTAAAGTCTTTTACCCTAGAAGCAGCCTCCACTTTCGGAATTAATGAAATGAAAGTTGCATTAGCACTCCTCTGAATTAACTTTTCCTGTAGAGTTCATTCAACACCTGTATTACATCCTCTTTTAGGATATACCAACGATTCTTGAAGAAAAATAGATTAAAACCATCAGGGCTTGGGGCCTTATCACCCTTTAAGATACTTACTGCTTCCCAAACTTCCATCTCATCAAATTCTCTCTCCAACCAATCTCTTAAACCCTCCCCAATTCTTCCAAGTTCTAAATCTCCCAAGAAAACCTTTCTATTTGAGGCTGCCTTATACAAATTAATGTAGGGATTCTTGATTTCATCCCCCAATTCTCTTAGGTCTTCAATGACTTTGGTGATGTTTGGTACCGTTTACGTTTATTCAGTAAACGTTTATTGATGGTGCCACATAGGTGCCATCTCAGCATTTTCTCTCTCTTGCTCTTCTGCATACATCGAAAATGTAAAAAGTGAACTTTGGTTTGTGTGCATGCCAGCCGTTTGTAGAAGTTATTTTTTGAAGCTTCCACAAACGGCCAGGCGTTTATTCACTGTTACGCTGAAGTGGCATCTAATGGTGCCTAGTGGCACCCAGTTGTCATAAACGGTTGCAATTATTGCATTTCTTGGTTTTACCAGCATATAAAGTACAAACGTTTATTCAATAAACATAATTGGTACCAAACACATACTTTATTTTCCTCCTCCAACCTAAAGACGAAATTTCTTCTCCTACCCCTAGTTAAAGCATGTAAGAAGGATGAACTTTCTTCTGCTGGCACATAACTTCCTCCCTATGGATTACCTCCATATATTCCCCTCTCACAATTTCGTTCTCCCTTTTGCCTTCTCTCGAAAGAACATCCCTTTCTTCTAACCTCTCCAAGTCTGCCATTTTTCTAAGAAGTTCTATTTTTTGATTTGAAGTGTTCCCAAATACTTCCCTATTCCATACTTTTAGGTCCTCCCTTAAATCCATAAGCTTCCTCATTAGAATATAGCCTGCCCTTCCTTCAAAGTGATAGCTTTTCCACTTCTCAACAGAAGCCACAGAAAGAGGGTGTTTTGGCCACAAATTTTCAAATCTGAATGGCTTTGGTCATCAAGTTTGAAAATTTTTCTCAAAAGGATAGGTTTAGGATCTGAGAGACCTGAAGTGAGAGTTTCTTGAACCAAGCCTGAAAAGACCTCCTCCCAATCCCCATTATAAGGGAATCTCTCCAACCTCCTCAGAATAGGTGGGTCTTGACCATTCAACCAACTGGATCCCAACTTTTTGCATTCAATTAGACCATTCCTTCTCACAAACTCCCTAAAACTTCTCATAGTCCTGGTAACCCTGTTGTCCCTTCCCCCTTTCCTCTCACTCAACTTCAAGCGAACACTAAATCCCCCCGCCTCCAACAGCCAAGGAAAACCCCTCACCGTGAGCTCCCTCTAGCCCAAACTTCAGAATCCCAAATCACCACCAAACTCCCTGACAACCCCTTAGCTTAACAATCAACCCACCCAAAAGCCCCCCACAACTCCGAGATAAGATCCCTATCCACTTTTTCTAGTTTGGACTCTTGAATGAGTAAAATCCCTCAACCCCCTAACATTCCAAGAGATAGCTCTCAAACATACTGCTGAAAGCAAGAAGAAGCTGAAACAACACAAGTTTTCTTTTTTTTTTTTTTCTATTTTTCCTTTTTCTTTCCTTTCCTTTCTTTTTCTTTCTTTTTTTTTTCTTTTTACTTTTATGTTTTTTTCCTAACTAAGAAGTAGGAATTTCCTTTGTGGACAATTTGTAATTCTCCTCCAATTCTTGGAACATTTTCCTTGTGAAAGATTTACCTCCCAACACAAACAGACTTGAGGCTTTACTTACATCCACTTTCGTATTTGCAAGTTGCAACCTTAGTTAAGTCAATAGTTTTATCAATCGGATGGATCTCATCTAAACAAGCTTCCTCCTCACCTACTTCACTAATACCTCTGTCCTCATCTGATGAAAGAACTTCATCCTGATTCTTTTCAAACCCAGTCTCTATCAGCAGTCTTGTTCTATATGCTCTCTTCCTATTATACACTTTGGGCCACCAATTGACTTGGTCTTTACCTTTCTTTCTTCCCTCTTTGTTTCTTCCCCCCTTCCTCTAACTCCTCCTAAAGAACAGTCGTAGCCAACCTAGAGTGATGACCCTCTTCTGCCCCTTCTTTGCCTCTATCAAAAATTGGCTCTTTGTTAGAGTTGGTCGAGTGAGGGTAGATTAGTCTTTTCATTATGTTTAAGTTATACGATGATGTGGCAATTCTGGTTTTACTTCTCTCTCTCTCTCTCTCTCTCTCTCTTTCTCTCAGAATAGGACTGGTTCGAACCACTAAAACATGGTATTAGAGCGCCAAGCAAAGGAGAAGAAGGCCGCGGCTTCATGTATTCTACATTTTCTTGGGAAGTTGAAGTATTTCTTGGGTATAGAAGTCGTCAAGTCAAAACAAGGTGTAAACTTGTGTCAAAGAAAATATGTCCGTGATCTGCTGGATGAAACGAGACTGTTAGGTGCGAAACCAGTCGAAACACCCATTGAACTGAATGCTAAGTTGAGCAGTGATGCAGGTGAAATATTTGATGACCCTGGAAGATATAGGCGGTTAGTGGGGAAGCTGAACTACTTGACCATCACAAGACTAGACATCTCCTTTGTTGTTAATGTGGTGAGCCAATTTATGCAGAATACCCGGGTACCTCACTGGGATGCAGTTCTTAGAATTGTAAGGTACCTGAAGGGAGCTCCAGGCCGTGGGTTATTGTACAAACCAGGAGGAAGACTTGAGATAGTTGGGTATACAAATGCATATTGGGCAGGCTCAGTGTCGGATAGGAGATCTACTACAAGTTACTGCACATTTCATGGAGGAAATCTGGTGACATGGAAGAGCAAGAAGCAGGCTGTTGTGGCAAGGAGTAGTGTTAAAGCTGAATACAGAGCCATGGTACACACTACATGTGAGTTAGTATAGTATGGCTGAAAAATCTCCTACAAGAGATTGGATTCTCAATGGGCAGACCTATGAGATTGTACTGTGACAACCAAGCTGCAATCCACATCTCATATAATCCAGTTTTTCATGAGAGAACAAAGCACATAGAGGTTGATTGCCATTTTGTGAGGGAGAAAGTCCTTACTGGAGAGATAAGCACAGAACACGTGGGCTCAGGTGAACAATGGGCAGATTTTTTTACAAAAGGTTTGAGTTTAGGGAGAGTGAACTATATATGTAACAAACTGGGATTATATGACATATATTCTCCAGCTTGAGGGGGAGTGTTAGAGTTGGTCGAGTGAGGGTAGATTAGTCTTTTCATTATGTTTAAGTTATATGGTGATGTGGCAATTCTGGTTTTACTTTTGAAGTTCACTTGTCCCATACTTAAGTAGGGGCAGTTTTGACCTTGTACTCTAATTACAATATAATACAGATTATGGTCGACTAGTAGAGTTTACACTCTCTAGTTCGACAGCTTCTTCTTCTTCTTCTTCTCTCTCTCTCTCTCTCTCTCTCTCTCAGAACAGGACTGGTTCGAACCACTAAAACACTCTTGAACCTGGTTTGTCCCTACAATGGAGAGAGGAACAGCCCCCAGATCCTTTGAGACCTCACTATCGACCTTCTTCCCCTTGTCAAACTTGGAAATTAAAAAAGAATCAAAGTTACCTACCTTCGACGTGAAGGGCTTGTCTTCTAAGACGTTGTGGCCTAAGGAAATGTAATCAACCAACTCCTTTTCCGCCCCAAAATTCTGAAGAGTCCCCCTCAAGCTTCCCTGGTTGAGATGAAATGAGATCTACCCCCATACCTTCAAGATTTCTTGGCACTTCACTTTTCTTCTCCAAAGACGACAATCATCTTTAATTCCCTGGTTGAGATGAAATGAGATCTACCCCCATACCTTCCGTTCATTCAAGACACTGTTATTATTACTTAGAACAGGGTTTAACCTGGACAACTGTTGGGTTGGGCCAACCCATGGTTTACTTGGACCAGCCCCACTTAACCTGAGATTTGAAGTTTTCTTTCCTTTCCGATTTGGGGGCCTGGATTTTTCTAAATTTACAAAATAAGACCCTAAGGTCCTTGACCTTTCACCTTCGACTGTGCCCTTGCTCTACAACTCTCCCAATGCAGAGCGAGCAGCCAGTGGTTTCTCCATTCTATTTCCTTTTTAACGCCTCTCTTGCCACCTTCTGGTCTTTCAGCCAGAAAAATGGATCTTCCCCTGCTATAACAATCCTAAGCTTGAATACATCATCTAGGTAAAACAAATTCAGGAAGGTTGGTATTGAACTCACATCCTCCATCTCAACTAAGATTCTTGCAAACTGAATATTCTCTCACCTCCTATTTCTAAAATCAAACCTTATAAAGTTACCAACAGCATGTTGGATTGCCCTGAAAACTTTTGCTCCAAGTGTGTAGTGGTATTTTGTAGACATCAAGCCAGACAAATCTCATATTTTCTAGGTCCTTTCCAAAGCAAGGTGACCATTGATTAAAGATTTCTGGGCCTTTTTCCATGTCTTCCTTCCACCTGAAACTGAAAAGGAAATGTGATGCTCCCATCCTTCTAACATAGGAAAAATTCAATTTCTGTCATTCAGCACTCGCCCACCCCACATCTCTGATATCAGGATCTGAATGCACAACTCTACCTACTAATCATCAATTTAAGAACTCCAATGTCTCTCCTACCTTTCCCACTTCCCTAACAGACACACCTTTTGTAGCCACCGAAGTCAGCCACGATTCAAGCAATGTCTCTGGCTCTCTGCTGCTCCTCCCATGCCTCTAATGCTGCTGCCACAGCCATCTCCTTGCCTTCATTGCTTCTGATTACCCCTCTGGCCCCTGGATTACCTAGGCTGCAACCATCAAAGTTAAACTTGATATAAGGTGTCAGTGGAGGACTCCAGACAGCATAAGATATCTTCCTTCCAGTAGATCATTCAGCCACTGATCTCTGATTTTTGCATCTGTCATCAGTGGAGAAAGGAGCAAAAAGATCTAGTGTTTTGAACCAATATGCAACTTTAATAGTGATGGTGTTGATGACCTCCTTGACTCCCCTCTCCTTATCCTTAAACAACCATGAGTTTCTTTCCTCCCAAACACACCACATAACTGTGGCTCTTGTGCATCACCACAGAATTTTCCTCCTTTTATGGCAAGAGAAAAAGAAGCAAACTCAAACAAACTCTTCTGGAGGAGACCATATTCTACCATACAAGCAAAAGAAATGTTCCTAGATATCAGTCACAAATTTACAGGAGATTAGAAGGTGGGAATTGCTCTCGCCATTAGCCCTGCACAAAAAACAAACATGAGGGGAAAGGCACCAATATGGTTTCCTCCTTCGCAGCATTTCACAAGAGTTGATCTTATTATGAAAGACCTCTCAACAAAATGCCCTTACTTTTGGTGGCACTGGACCTCCCTAAATGGTCTTTATAGGTGGTACAGTAGGGTGAGTATCCAAAGAAGATCTTGAAAAAAAAGAAGAACAAGAGAGCACACCAGAAGGATTGAGGGTCCAAATTCTAGTATCAGATTTGAAGGGATTAATGATTTCTTCAAATGCAAAATACCAAAAAGATTAGACCTTATGTTTCGTTTCTCTTTTCTTTGGAGTATACTTCAAATTGGACCCGTATTTCTTTTCTTATTCTCTAGCTTTTAGTATGTATTTCTTATACTATTTGAATCCATCTTAATAATTTGAAACCATCTTACTTTTGGTGGCACTGGACCTCCCTAAATGGTCTTAATAGGTACAGTAGGGTGAGAATCCAAAGAGGACCTTGAAAAAAAGAACAAGAGAACACGCCAGAAGGATTGAGGGTCCAAATTCTAGTGTTAGATTTGAAGGGATCAATGATTTCTTCAAATGCAAAATACCGAAAAGATTAGACCTTATGTTTCGTTTCTCTTTTCTTTGGACTATACTTCAAATTGGACCCATATTTCTTTTCTTATTCTCTAGATTTTAGTATGTATTTCTTATACTATTTGAATCCATCTTAATAATTTGCAACTTCTATCACTTAGGTTGAGAACTGGAAATGTCATTTTCAATTATAGGTATTACAACAACATGTTACAAAAAACTGAAGGTATGGTAGCTTTTCTTGTCTTTCCTTTTTTTTTTCTTTCTTTCTTCCTTAACTCTCTAGGATTCTAGGATAAACAAAGGCGTAGTATCAGCATATTAGATTGGACACTATATCCTTTTGTTTATTTCTGAATTATGATAAATATTGAGCAGTTTCAAATTTCCTCTTTTAGTGTTCTCTGTTTTTATATCTGGGCAGATAAATCAATTTAGAATCATTATTCTAGTGTTTGGAAAAGCATATGTGGCCTTTTGCCTTGTGGATTGCCTAGAGGGAAGGCTCAAGTAAAACACCTGGAACCTCACACTTGAAATTATACATCACATACATCTTACCTTAAGATGTTCTCTGTTTGTACTTATACATGTATATTTTAATGAAAAAATTTTGATAGAATTTCTCACATAACACAATTCACCCAATTAAACTAGTAGCTGGGAATTTTATCATTTGAAGCCCCCATTCAAGATATCATGTAGATATTCCTTTAATTACATCTCTACTAGGAGTAGAGGAAACCTTTTGCTTCTGATTTAGAAGTATGAATGAATAGAGTAGGCTAAATTAATCTTAATTGCAGAATTTTATATTGAAAATTTTCGTGCATTTCCTCAGTTTGAGAGAAACCAGAAGAAACAAATAAGCAGATCACCTTTTTTATAATATATTTAAGTAGGGACCATAGTTAGCCAAGTTTCATAAATAAGGTTGTAGATTACTTTTATTGGAAATGGTGTTATAGATGGTTTTTCCCCACATAGAATCAAAATTTTATGGTGTAGGAAATCACAAATCAGCTGATTTTCATGAACAGTGCTGTAAATAGTTTCTTCCCCTACACAAGATTGAGATTTTATAGAAGTTTATGACTTAATAGGGATCAATTGTAATTTGATCTGTTTTTGTGTGAGGCAGAGGTTGTACCTTGCTCCTCTCATAGGGATACCTGTAGTGTATGTATAAATATTTGATGCTTATTTAATAAAATTTCTTTAAAGTTACCTTTAAAGAGGGTACCACTGAACCATAATCAGCTAAGTTTCGATGAACAAGTCTATAGATAATTTAAGCCCCTAAGAAAAGGCTATTGACATGTGGGGATAGTCACCAGTTTGGCCTTTTTCTTTGAAGTACATCCATAGTATTGACCTTTTGGAGAACCACTTCTCAGCAAAAAGCCCTAACCTTTTTGGAACAGGAGTACAACACTTGTTTAGTAGGAAAAGAGGCAAGCAATTTTGACACAGTTAGACAGATTACTCTCTCCTTTCTTATCGTATTTGTGCTCATGGGTCGAGAAAATCATGCTTCCTGGTCAACTCCGACGACTACTAACACCGGCATCAAATCTAAGAATCATGCGACGGTTAGTAGCAATAGGATCAAAAACCTTTGAATTTGACTCAACACTCCACAAACACGATGGTGTTCTAGCCTTGACTGAGAGAGGTAGAGTTGCTTGGTCGAAAATCTCACTGTCAGTAGAAGAGGCAAAATGGCTAGGAGATTTCCTTCGAGAGGCAATCAAAGATCAAAAGATTGCGATAAAAGAACAAAGATACGCTTGCAGAGGGAAGGTGCCGCTCATTCAAATAAATGAAAATAGATGGGGTAGATTCATCTGCTTAAGCTGTTGGGAGCTTGCTCAGAAGCTCAAATTCATTTGCATCCCCGAAGAAGCAAGGAAAACAGGTTGGAAATCTTTCGTTGAAGTACTAAATTCTTTTCCCCGGAGTTTTGTTTCGTCAACCTCTGAAGCTCCCCTACAAGGGGATTTCCCACCCATATTGGCTACGAACAGAATCGTTAAGGCTGGCGACCTATCTTGGAACGAAGTGGAGTTAGGAGTTTCAGCAAATCTTCATTCCCCAGAACTTGTACATCTCCACCCTTTCTCCCAAAACAGAGCTGTGGGGTTTGCCTCGTCTGAAGATCTAGTCTTTGCTTGGGTAAGGTTGGAGAAGATTCTCGTCTATGGTAGGTGGGTGAAGATCGACCGATGGTGGCCGACTGTTAACGCAGTTCCTTCCGGGTTAAGTTTTGATGGCTGGATCTTATAGGAAGCTTATGTGGAGGGCTGGAAGAGATTGACCCCAAAACCAAGGACTGGTCGGAGTTGAGCTTTGCCGGTCTAAAGGTGAAAGACCGCGGAGTTCACTCCATCCCCTATTCGATACCTATCATTGATAGAAATGTCTAGTTCTTCGCCATGATCGAAGTAGAGAAGAAAACAGAATCACCTTCTCCATCCACCGAGTTAACTCGGTGCGTCGACTCACGAACTTGTGAATCCCTTGCTCTCGTAGTCGAGCCTGTGACCAGAGCAGGAAACTTTATTGTTAAGGACAAAGAAAAGGTGGCGACTGTGGCAGAGGCGTGTGAAGCAAGGAAGAAGCAAAATCTTCCCCTGCCAGGAAAATATAAAGGAAGAGAGTAAATAGAAGCATGGGGGAGTTCTCCAACTTCATATCCAGACACAGGCTGCACGACCTCCCCCTAAGGAATGGTAACTTTACCTGGTCGAACATGTAGGAGAATGCCATAAGTTGTAGGCTTGACAAATTCTTAATTACTTCAGATTGGGAAGCCCATTACCCCCTGACCTTTCAGGAGATCCGCTTCTGATGTACTTCGGATCACAAAGATTTCTGCAAAAAGGTTGCCTCATGGTGGGGGGAATGCAAGACAGAAGGTTGGCTAGGGTACAGATTTCTGGAAAAATTAAAATATGTAAAAAGGAAGCTAAAAGGATGAGCCAAAGAGGAATTTAAAGCCTTCAAGGAAGAGAAATCAGCAATCTTATCTGAATTGGATGATTTAGACCAAAAGGAGCAAAGTGGGCACCTAAATGAGAACAAAAGAAGGAGAAGATTTGAGCTAAGAAAAGAATGGGAACAGGTAGTAAGAAGAGAAGAAGTTTATTGGAGACAGCGATCTAGGGTGAGATGGTTAAAGGAGGGGGACAATAACTCTAGGTTCTTCCACATATATGCATCTGGGAGGTGGAAAAGAAATCTTATAACAAAATTAAAAATCGGGCAACGAGAAGTGGAGGACCTTGAGGAAATTTCTGAAGCTTTCTTATACTTCTTTAAAGATCTTTACTCAAAGAAAGAAAACAGAAAACTCTCCATAAGCTTTTGGGAAGGGTTTAAACTGTCGGAGGAGAATAGTCTGTGGTTAAAAAGAGAGTTTCAAGATCAAGAAGTGAAGGATGCTCTGCCTTTAGCATGGATGGAGATAGAGCCCCGGGCCCTGATGGTTTCCTAATTCTATTTTATCAGATTTGTTGGAGCATAATCAGTTCAGATTTGATGCAGGTGTTTAATGATTTCTATCATTCAGCCATTGTCAACAAAGGAAACAACTCTAATTTCATATGCTTGATTCCCAAGAGAAAGGGTACTTTAGAAGCAAAAGATTTCGGACCTATCAGTTTGATTGGGAGTGTAGACAAAAATTTTAGCAAAGGTTCTAGCCGAAAGACTAAAAAAAGTCTTAGGGGAAATCATTTCCCCAAATCAGTTTGCATTTGTCAAAGGGCGACAAATCATTGACAGCATCTTAATAGCAAATGAATGCATTGAAGAGAGGAAGATGAATGGAAAACCAGGGGTGATTGTGAAACTCGATTTGGAAAAAGCATACGACAAAGTAGACTGGGAGTGTCTCACAGAAATAATGAGATTAATGGGATTTGGAAACAAGTGGATTCAGTGGGTTGAGGGATGTATGAGCTCCACCTGGTTCTCAGTTCTAATAAACGGGCAACGAAAAGGATATTTTAATGCTAAAAGAGGATTAAGACAAGGCTGCCCCCTCTCTCCATTGCTCTTTACTCTAGTCACAGAAATCTTTAGCCAACTGGTGAATAAGGCTATCTCTCTTGGTTTTTTAAGAGGTTTTGAAGTCGGACAGGAAGCCACCCAGATATCTCATCTCCAGTTTGCCGACAATACCATCCTTTTCCTAGAGGCTGATGAAGAATTTGTATCAAATCTGAAATGGGTCATCACCTGTTTTGAATGGATTTCTGGACTGCAAGTAAACTTCGCAAAGAGCAGTATTGCTGGCCTAAATCTAGCTGGTGCTCACTCCTTGGACACTTTCACAGAGATCTTGGTATGTAAGGCAGAAAACCTCCCCTTCCTCCATCTGGGGATGCCCCTTGGAGGAAACCCGAGAAATCAAAACTTTTGGGAACCAATTCTAGAAAAATGTGAGAAGAAGTTAGCCACATGGAAAAGGAACTACTTGTCAAAAGGAGGGAGGCTCACTCTAGTTAGAGCAGCATTGGCAAAACTTCCCACCTACTACCTCTCTATCTTCCGCATGCCCAACAAGATAACAGTTCAGGTAGAAAAACTTCATAGAAACTTCATTTGGGAAGGAGGTGGAGAAAGGGGTTCTCACCTTGTGAAGTGGTATCATGTTAGCAAACCAAAGGAGGGAGGTGGATTGGGAGTAGGCCACTTGAAAGAAAGGAACTCAGCTCTTCTCAGTAAATGGTTGTGGCGATTCCCTCTTGAACCAAATGCACTTTGGACTGCTGTAATTACTAGCAAATATGGAAAGCACGCCAACGGTTGGGATAGCAAGCTCCACTTGAAACGGGTCAAAGACACCCACCCTTGGAAAGATATAATCTCATACCCTGAGAGAGGTATACCTCTCCAAAATTCCCTTGATCTTCGTGTTTGGACCCTTCACCCATCAGTTCAGTTTTCAACCAAGTCTTGCTTCAAGGCTTTAGTTAGGGAAGATCAAGCTACTGATCAGTACGCCTACAAGAGAATTTGGTGCGCCCATATCCCTTCCAGGGTATGCTTTTTTGTGTGGGAAGCCAGCTTAAAGAAAACCAATACTTACGACCTCCTTCAGAAAAAGAACCATGGAAGGTATTATCTATCTCCCCGTGTGTGCTGTTTCTGCCTTAAAGCTGGGGAATCTACCAACCACATCCTGATTCACTGTGAGGAAACTAGAAAATTTTGGAATTT